ATATCTTAATTTTTAACAACTTTCCATGGTAGTGGTTTCGTCACATTTCTATAAAGATCTTTATATATTTCTTATACGACAATAGTAGAGACCTACACGGTATTATAAGTTCCCAATATTGACTGATAAAAAATAATATGTATATAATTTGTATTTTTGCTACTACTTACAATTTTGTAATCTAGTACTAATTGTTTGTTATTTTAATTGATAATTTATTTACTTTTTTAATAAGTAAATAATAAATAATATTCTAATCCCCTTATTCACAAACAACATTTTTATTTTATAAAAGGTTTATAAAACAAAATTTCCATACAAAATACCGTTTATAAAATAAAAATTTTGTTTGTGAATAATTTTTCAATTCATGTATAATTTTTAATAAATTTTATCTTATAATACATATTTACTTTACATGAAGAGATTTTTGGGCATGTGGGATTGTCTTTTTGTAAGGTAAATTAAAAAAAAACACGGTGGCAACATGTACATTTTTTGACAGAAGTACAGTAGTTTCCCGGTTTAACGAAAGATATAATGTCAGACCCATTCGTAAAAACGAAAAATTCGTTAAACCGAATAACAACTTTTCTATGATTTAATGATAAAAATACGGTAATGGAAGGTAGGAAGTCTATTATTTAAATCTTTTTGAATGCACCCATAAAGTTTTTGACAATTTCAATGCATTTTTATGCAGTGTGCAAAAGATAGAAATTAGTTTTTTTGTTAAATTTGCAATCAAACCAAAATTAAAGCTTTTATGAAAAATTTTATTACAATTAGGAAAAAAACAATATTTTTTGTTTAATGATGTTAAAGTTGTTTCATTTCGAAAATGAATTAATTCTTCTCTTATAAAAGAATAGGGATTTGATGCCCATTTTAATCGATGTGAAATTCTAAGTATTTTATGGTAATTTTCATTACAAACAATTCCATTTCTCACTTTATTAGTAAAATAATCATAATATTCCCTTAAATAAAGAATTTTATATTAAAATGTATTTAATAAATTTAATTTATATTTCCGAAAATATTTTTTAAATGTTATTTTCATTCCTATTCCCGGATTTTTGTATTTGTAGATTTTGTACCCATTGAATTGGGCATTGAACTTACATAAAATCTTAATATGTTATTGCTTTTGGTTTATAAAGAAGTTTAGTTATCATTCCGTATTATTTTCACCTCTTTTTATAGAAATTTTTTTAGAAATTCGTTATATCGAGTACTAAATTTACTCATTCGTTCGTAATATAAGGTACTCAATGGAAACAATTTGCCCGTTCGTTAAATCGCGAATTAGCTAAACTGAGTATTCGTTAAACCGGGAAACCAGTGTATCTACTTTTGTTGTTTTTGTAGAATTGACTTCACCTTATAAGTCCACCTTGATTCTGTCCAAAGTAAATTTATAAAGTAGACTCAATTGAACAGCTGACTATTTTTTTAAACTTGCTATTTGTGGACTTACTTGTCAAAAATGTTTATATTGCCATATTTGTTTTCATTTTAACGCTTGCTTTTGTACAAATTTCTGAGTAATTTGTTGTATTTAATGTGAAAAAGTGTATTTTAAGTGTATAATATTTTTAAAAATGTTCTAATTTTTAAAAAATAAAGAAAACTCTGTAACTTTTAATATAAATAACAACATATTTTTGGAAAGTACAACAATAATGCCATATTTTCCATTAATTATTGGTTAATTTTTGTAAACAAATTTTGACAAATGAGTATTTCGAACAAAAACAAATTGCCTGTGGTTTTTGTAGACGTTTGTTGTACAACAACTCGTGTCGCTACTTTATTAATTTACTTTGATTCTGTCTTTAGATTTTTGCACACAACAAATTTGGCGCGAAAAAATTTTAGCAGCAGAATTTCTTTTCGCAGTCGGCAGATAGGACGTCAACACGGAAATAGTGTTGACGTCCTATCTGCCGACTGCGAAATTTCATTTTGCGGCGAATTCATGAAATTTTTTATATATGTAGTTTGACAGCGTCGGGTTTGAGAGAGAATTTTTTTTATATGGAGTTTGACAGCTTCGGGCTAAATTTCCATGTACAAAAAAACAATCAGCTGTTGAAATGACTTCACCTTAGTAGTTTCGCCATGCTATTTCCCATTTAAATACACATATTTGATGACCTGGTCTCTTACGGTTTGTCAAGCGATCAATGTATTTTGGTGCCGGATGGTTGACGCTGCCGAAGCTTCAAACAAAGCTTCTTTGACGTTAGCAGCCCACGGCTGGGAGGCGCGTAAGTTCGATATTTAATGAGCGGCTTATTATTATAAATTTTATATTGTAAAATTTCGTAAAATTAGCGAAAATATTCTGTAAAAATACGGCTTTGACATTTTGTTCGACGGCTAGGCTTATTCGGCGCCGAACAGGCGCAGGTCTCTGTTGATAACACACAAAAATTAAAATTAAAACATAAACAATAATTGAACAGGGTGCTTCGTAAAATTCAGTAAACCAGTAAATTATCGCAGCTGCTGTTAAAAAGGCGAATTTGGCCCGTGCTGTCAATGTTTGTTATTGATTAAATTAAAAACTTAAAAATAACAGTTTGAAATAAACATTTTTATTTTATTTAAATTTCAGTCTATGTTCATTGACAAATATTAAATTTGTATGCTTATTTTTCACAAAATTCGCCTTTTCAATTGTTTTTTACATTCAGGGTATCAAATGCAACAACAAAATACATGATAATTTTGTTGTTGCAGAATTGCTACCACCTCGAAATCTATATCGAACGTGTAAATACATATGTATGTACAGTGTCGGTCAAAACATATTGGTCACAAGTAGCATGTTTCATGTTTATAGTATAAAATAAAGAAAAAAATGCATTCCTACAGCTATGTCGATCTGTCTGTCCATATGTATGATGAAATCAAATTTCTGAAGGCCAATCAATTTTCGAATAAACATGCTTTCGAGAAAATTCCTATTTAAAATCAGCATCAGGCTAATTAGCAATAGTAATTCACAGCGCGAAATATAAATTCAGAATTTCCATTAGAACATCACATTACATATGTACATACAAACGACGGCATCCCATTACAAAACATCTTTTATTTATATGACTCAGACTTTCCATCGCCAAATTTTAACGGTCGTTTTTTAATTTTATAAATTTTTCTTTCTCATTATAAATTTTATTTACTTTAAGACTGACATAACGCAAAAATATAGTTTCGAGAATAATGGCTTTAGCCGAAAACAATAAACATTATTGAAAATAGAATTATATTACTTCGTAAGCAAATTTTAAAGAAATGAAGGGATTTGAAAAACTAAACCAGATTCAGATAGTAGAGGATAAATAATATGTTTATCATCTAAATTGAAATTTTATTATTATTATTATTATTATTATTATTATTATTTTCTTGCTTTCACGAATATTAGATATATTTGAAATTTGATAAATCTATTTGAAAGACTTTAGTATGACGCATGTTAAAAAAAGAATCTTGGCTTATGCCAGTCTTGTAGTAAATGAGCGATTTGTGCTAATATGTGTACATATATATACATACATATGTATGTATGTACAATATGGTTGAGCGTATTTTTTGTCTTTTTTAAACCACAAAACAACATACTCAGTCAAGTAAAACGATTATAAGACACTTTTCTACGTACTTTTTGAAAACTTGAATTACCAATACGGGAAAAAAAAACACTAACATAACTATGCCGAATCTAATGCACCCTTTACCATAGAACATTCAAATATTTCGAAAAATGGAAACAAAGTTTATTCGTTTAATACTAAATTTTTACATTCTACAATTTCGAAGTTAAAACTTTTAATAATAATTTCAAAATGTTTGCTATAAATATATTTTTTAAATAAACTTTTTATTTAATTTATAATAATACATGTGTTTAATACATAATTGTATTAGAATCATTTGGAAAATTTTGGTTATTAAAGGATCCATTCTTATTAAGAGCCGTACAATCTCACCAGTACAATAAATTCAATATACCAACTTCGTCTTATACATAAAGCTTACTCTAAACCTTACCAAAGAGACAGAGCAAAGAAAATTAAATAAAAACGAAAAATCTTAATGACTTTTTGTCGGTCTGTCTCAACCTGACGACTTTAGTTACATACTCTCTTTATATCTACCATTCGCTAGTTATCGGTTAAGTGAGTAAGTAAACTTGGTTTTTTTACTTAAAGACCCGATTGTCTTGCAAATGCTACTACATAGGTACTTCAAAGACTTAATAAGAACAACATGAAAAAAATTGTGGCTTATTGAATGAATATGATGAGTGTGTTTGTTTGTTGGCTGACTTACTGGCCAGCAGCAAGTATTAGAGCGAGCCAACCAACAGTGGCTGGCTGAAATACACAAAACTTCAGTTTGTGGTTAAAGAGCAACGGTGACACTTGGTTAAAAACGTCGTAACGCAAAAACAAGCAGATTTTTTATAGAAATTTAATGATATCTTCTAAGAAAAATAAAAATAGTTTATTAAAAAAAACTTGATTTTTAATTTGGAAACTATTAAATAAAACTACCTCAAAAGTAAGTTTTTGGAAAAAAAAAAAATAAATAAATAGTAAAGAGCGCATGAGTACCTTATATATTTTATGCGTTCATTCAACAGACATCATTTTTTAAAGTATTTCCTCCTTTTCGACATAAAGTGTTGTATGTGGATCAGTTTCTAGTAAATAGATATGAATGTATGTATGTGTGTATGTAGTTGTTTGTGCGATCATTCAAAATCCATAGTGAAACGGAAAGTTTTAATATTTATACGAAGAAAAAAACATTAACGAAAAGCCAAAGATGTGTATTTTTTCGTTCCAACATGGTTGGTACTCAAACAGTCGTTCCATTAATTAAAAAAATAAAAGTAAAATGAAAAAAAAAAAAAAAATGAAATAATGTTTATGAGTTGAATTGAGTTTATTCCGGTTTTGAACACGATCATTTTGTGTGAATACTCTAAACAGTGTAGTCAGACTGCAAATTTCAAATTGTGGTCTCAACTTGTTTTTGTTTCTGTTTTTAAAAAAATATATTATTTGAAATACATCTGTGCAATTTTCTATTGCAATCATTATATTTACATATACAAAATATTGTGAAAAATCTTAAAAATCTATTGCAATATTTAAAATATTTATTTCATGCCGTAAAATAAAAAGTGTTAATATTTACAACAAACAAATAATATTGTTAAAATTAATATTGTTAAAATTTTTCTTTTATTTATTTTTTAATTGTATATTTTTATTTTTAGTACTTTTAAATTTTACTATAATTTCGAGGCGTGGCTAAAAGACCAGTTTTTTAAATTTTAAATCGTATGCATTTCAATTAATCTGTTTGCAGTTACTAGTACAAACGGCAAAAAGCACATCAAAACTTTAAAGTTCGTTTTTGTTTAACTGCGGTTTCTGTGCTTGGAATATTAATTAAAGTTGAATGTGAAGTTTAGAAAAGGTAAAAAATAAAAAAAAAACAAATAATTAGTACAAATTTCCAAAAATATTTATAAAGAATATAAATATTTTGACTGAAACTACAATATCAGGTCTGTCACACATTCCGATTAGAATGTTTCAATCCATAGTTATTATTCTGATCGTTAATGTTTTACTTTAGATTCCAATTAATGTATATAGTTAATTCACAATATAATATTTTTTATTTAATTTTAAATTTAAATCTAAAAAATTAAATAATTAAAAAATTTAATAAAAATAAATTTCAATTCCACTTTAAAAGTTAAAAATGGCTTCATTTCGAAAAAAAGCGGTCGTTTTACTTTTTCTGGGGAAGCAAAATAAGGAAATAATTCCATTTTGGATCGGAATAGAATTCTGTGACAGGCCTGTATGTCATTTGTTTAAATGTTGCCTTAGCTGGAGCATTTCTGCAGGGGCTCTAGGAAAAAAATATTTCGAATATTATTATTATTATCTCAAAACTGTCCCTATTTTTTAATTGTAGTAACAATGCAATGATAAAAATTATTTAAATTTAACATGCTCAACTAGAATTTATTGTACATACATTGTATTTATGTACATACATATGTACATATTCCTATTTTGTTGTTTATTCGTTGCAAATTCATTAGCCCCAGTTAATAATCTATTGTTTACTTGTGTTTAATTGTTATCGACGAGTTTTCATTATAAGAAGAATTTGCATTACTGTTAATTTAAAATCTTAAAGTTTTAATAACAGCCCCCAATAAAAACTTAATTCTTGTTTCAATAAGCTATGTATACAGAAACAATTTAATCTCTGCAGCTATAAACTGTGTGTATTTATTTAATCAAATTTGAAACATTTTTGTAAAATCACAAAATCTCGCAAACAATTACATACATATTTATTCATCAATGTAGGTACTACTTGCATTAATTTCTTTTAAAATATTTCATTTATATTATATTGTGGTTCATTTAAATATTGATTACTGTAAGTGTTATTTTTGCGTTTTATATTTCCAGATGACCTGGCACCACATTTGCACAGGAAACAGGTTGTTTATCATATTTTTAGTGGTTTCCTCAGTTTGTATAATGAATACCAAAGCAAAAACCGGTAAATGATACTTACTGTTAATGTATTACATATTATAACCAAAAAAAAAAAAAAATAAAACCTAAGGGTGTTAAAATATGATACAATACATATCCAGGCTCTAAGTTTATCCTTTGTTTCTTTATTCTATAGGGCCCATGCATGGAAAAAATGTAGTTTGTTACATTTCAACGTGGGCCGTTTATCGTCCTGGTCAAGGTGCTTATTCTATAGATAATTTCGATCCCAGTCTTTGTACCCATGTTGTGTATGCCTTTGCTGGTCTCGATCCCCAACAAGCGGCCATTAAGTCTTTGGGTAAGTGAAACTATTTACTTTAATAAAATTTAATTTTTATTAATGTAATATCCTTACAGATCCTTGGCAAGATTTAAAAGAAGAATATGGCAAAGGCGGCTATGAACGTTTAACGGGTCTCAAGCGCACTCATCCCCATCTAAAAGTTAGTTTAGCCATTGGTGGCTGGAATGAAGGCTCCAAAAACTATTCAAACATGGTAGCCGATCCCATTTCAAGAGGGAAATTCGTAAAACAAGTCACCTCTTTTATACGAAAATACAATTTTGATGGCCTCGATTTAGATTGGGAATATCCCACACAACGTGGTGGTGCACCTCATGATCGTGAGAATTTTGTTTTACTTTGCAAGGAATTGCGGGAACAATTTAATCCCCATGGTCTATTGCTCACTTCTGCCATTGGAGCTTCGAAAAAAGTCATAGATGAGGCGTATAATGTGCGACAGATTTCTCTTTATTTGGATTTCTTGCACATTATGTGTTATGATTATCATGGCAGTTGGGATCGAAAAATAGGTTATAATGCTCCTCTAACAGCACCAAATGGTGATGTACTGAGTGTGGTAAGTGAACTGGGATAAAAATCAGTGTTTTTATTTATTTTGTCTTTCAATATCTTAACCCAGATATACATACATAAATGAAATATGCTGATTCGTCTTGCTATTATTACAAAATGTTTAATGCTTTCGATTTCCAATGTAATCATAAATTTAGGCTTAATTTATTTAATTTATAAACATACATATGTGCATATATTTTTTATTTTAGCAATACACAATTGATTACTTGTTGAAATTGGGAGCTCCTGCTGAGAAAATTGTTATGGGTGTTCCCTTCTATGGTCGTACATTTAGAACTCCTTTAGATGGAAATCTCGACGACGACACTGATGGTACTGCTTTCCAAGGACCCTTTACGCGAGAAGACGGCTTCTTGGGCTACAATGAAATTTGCAGAATTTTAAGTAATAAAACCTCAGGTTGGACTACGATGTGGGATCCCGAAACATCACAAGCTTTAGCACGTTCCGAAAAAGATGTTTTTACTGGTCTTATAGAAGTTGTTACTTTCGATAACTCTCGCTCCATAGCAAACAAAGTCAAATTTGCAATTGAAAGAAAACTAGGCGGTATTATGGTGTGGTCTATTGATACCGACGACTTTTTGGGAGAGTGCGAAACTGAAACCGACATATATGAAGACTTCAGACACTTTAAACATTTAGATCTGGCCATGCCTCATCGTCTAAGTAATAATTATCCTCTATTAAGAACAATTAATGAAGCAGTGCCTTTAGCTATAGAAGAAACTAAGCATAAACATGATCATCCTCTTCATCCTGACCGTGACGAGGATCAAGAACCAAATATAGAAGATAATGAAATACCACATGGCTCGGTTGAGGATCATAAGGGAGATAGTAATGGAGCTTGTAGTAATAACTTATTATATCCATTTTATATTACCGTTGTATTTGGACTTCTGTCATTAGTTTTATGAAAAAAATGCAACTATAAAAAATTTGCTCAACTATTATAATTAATTAGAAATCGTAAGAATAAAACTTTCTGTTTAGTTTGTTTTCAAAATTTTATAAAAATATGTATAAAATAAGAATTAAAAATTGTATTAAATAAAATATAGAAACACACCAAAATTCTAACCATATTTTGTCCTTTTACAGGTACCTGAATTTTTCACATTTTAACTTTTAGTCTTCGATAAATTTTACAGAAGTTCTGAATATTGACCGTCTCCTCCTCTACACTCATACTTTTTGTTACATAAAAATGTATTCATTTTACAAATTTAGGACTACGACTAAATGAACCCTTTTGGATTTTAGCAGCAAATCTAACTATCTATCCAATAAGATATAAAACACAGAAATCGGTTAAAAATTCTAAAAGTTATTAAAAATTCGTCAGAGTATTAAGTGTCACAAAACACTTAAATTCATAGCTTCCCTTATCGTATATTGGACATCAGTCTAATATACATACATTTGTGTATATATAACTGCAATAGAAGCCCCCTTTTATAGATTTACATACTTGTTTCAAGGTTTAGTATTGAAAATCATTGAAAGTTCCCTTTCATAGATTTTCATTCAATAAAGACCCTATAAGATTGATTTTATGATTCTAGTCTCAATATTACAGGAAATTGAAAAAATATCAGTTGAAAAACAAAAAAGTACCAGAAAGTACCTATTTATAGATTTTCATTACATCAGGATGATCCATGTTAATTTTTCAACCAGAAATCCCTCTCATACAGACTTTTATACTATCAGGAAGCTGTGTGTCCAATTTTATGTTTTTAGGTTCATGTTTCAAGGTTCAATATTTTAAAAAACTCAAAAAGTCAGGTGAAGACCTTCTATATTTTTTTTTTATCTGAACAATGGTGCCTTTGTTTCAGATTTTAGTCATTTATTCCTAAATATAATTGCTGAAATTTATAACAAGTAAATCGTAACTGGAAATTCAGATTTTTTCACTTCTCGAAACTTTAAAAATAAAACATACTAGAGATGGTTATTAAATATTTTTATATTTTCATTTGGAAGAATATTAAACAATTGTTACTAATTATATTTATAATCTTCATAAACATTTATAAACGTATGCACATATTAAAGCCAACATGTATTTTTATCATTCTCTATATAATTTAGAATGTCCTTATTACACATAGTACCTCCCGCTTAGTGCAAAAATCTAACATCTCGAGAAATATATATGTATATGTAGATTCGATTAAAATTACTTTATTTGTAATATCATTACCGCGTTTTATCTAAGGAAATTTAGTTTAAGAATTGTTTTTAACAGCCACTTTAAAAGTGTTAAATTTGAGTTTCAGCGATCTTGCACTAAATGAGCGATATGTGTGTTATATTTACTATTTATTTTACAATACATTAATAATACTCTATTGTTATTATTTCTGTGGTCACAAGCAATAACAACCAAAGTCGTAAATTGTAGATTGGCATATAACATATGCAGAATTCATTATGTTTTCATTGAATTATTTGAGAAAACTTTTTTAGAAAATAATGGGACTTTTTAGAATAAATAAGTATGATGGCAAACTAAATTCGTTTTCAAGTCAACTTAGCGGTTATCGATTATGATCACAGATTTATTGTACGGATATAGATTGTTTAACTACATTACAGTTAAATACATAAATACTATACATTATTGAATATAATAAGTAAATTTTTAAATATACATGTATATGTATGTATGTAGATGTATATGTATGTATGTAGATGTAACATTTATGTAACTAAATGAATAAATGGAAAATATATGTATGTAAATATATAAATGTATGAATACGAATATATGTATATAGATTAAAAACTATATAAATCGGATAAGTGTGCATTTAAGACAATTTTTAATTTTTTTTAAGACAATTTAATCCTATTAAATACAAATATTTGAAAGTTCTGAGTTCATAAAATAAACGCTGATTTTTTAGAATACTTTAATAATACATAATTAAATATTAAATGTAAAAATGATTTCGAATGGCAGTAAAGTTGAAGTGAACTTTTTATTTCGTAATGCGAGTAAAGTTAGCTACGCTAGATAACAACAATTCAAAGTAAATTATAACGTAATAAGTAAGTGCTGTACTAAACAACGTAAAATATCGTAATTAATTATAAAATTTTTAACAAAAAATTTACATTTGACCTAAACAAAAACATTTTTTTTTTTCTTTAATTCAACTAAAATGACAGGTAAGCAAAACAAATTCTCCAAGTTTACCACAAATACGTTATCTAACGTTTACCAGTGATACGTTATCTAACGTAGCTCCATTTAATTTTTATTTGAGTGATTTTTGTAGATTTTAATTTTAAACGAAAACCTCATTTCATAATTTATGGCGTTCTCCGTTGCTATTATCTGATGACCAATCCCTATCGCTGTTGTCTTTGCGTTCTCTAGCCGAGTGCTTAATGTGGGTCTTGGGTTTGTTGGTTGTACGACCAATATTACGGCTAACTTGATGACCAGTTTGTTGGTCATCTATCACCTCATAGTGAGCTTCTGTTAGATTTTTGGTTGAGCGGCGGTGGGCTTCTAAACTTTGCGATTCTGATGAAAATGGATACGAGGCTACAAAATTCGTTGGAGTAGTGGCACCCTGAGAGCTGGCTTCAACAAAATCTTGTAGTTGATTGATCTTATTGCTGCATGGCGTTAACGGTGAGAGATCAGTAAATTCAGTCTTGGCCTCTGAATCCACAGAACACATACTTTGTCGCGATGTATCCTTGGGAATTTGAGCATGATTCAGTTGCTGATTATCCTTATTAGCAGTGGTTGTTAACATTTTGAGATTTTCAACAAAACCGTCATTAACGGCATGGGGATTTTGTGGGAATGGAAGACGACTACGTATAGAATTTTCACGCTGACCAAAGCGTTGAGCCAAATAGTCTTCATTATTGCTGCTGCTACAGTTGTTGAGCTGATGTTGAGCATTGACAGCGTGTGTATGATGATGATGGTTGTGTGAGTGTCCGTGAACATGATGTTGTTGATTTGGTGGTATCAAAGTTCTTTGTGAAGCTCTGGTATCTTCATAGTAATGATCATTTTTCACCGACATGTTGCAGCAACTGCTTACATCCGCAAAATAAACTTCAGATTCGGCGGGATCACTGGAAGACTGTATTTGTTGATCTGCATTCTGCGCCGTATTCGTTGATTCGCAACTATTTTGGAAGCCATTATTCTCAACTCCACACTTATTACGTTGAACAGATGTTAGAGAGTCTTCTCCTAAACTTTGTGGTTCATGATATTCTTGTTCGTCTTCCCCCTGACCAACATTTGCAAAAACTTGTTGAACATTAATACGCTGAGAACTCTGCGAATTGGGTCCAATACTTTTGTTTCCAGGATCTAAACGTTTCTTTATTTTGCGTGTGGGCAGAGTATTTGAAAATCGATCCCTCTCTCTTACATTTGCACCACAATCGCTGTCAGAAGGAGTATTTTCATATTCTCCTTTAGACTTAAAATTACCTACACTACCCATCACAGAATTAGTAGATCGCGGTATTGATGATTGTTGGCAACAGTTTGATGCTGCTGGTTGTTCCATGAACTGACCATGAGCTGGCTCATTGGTATTTGAATTAATAATATTATTTACATTTGGTTGACCAGTGGCAGTGTTCAAATGATGTGGCGGTTGAATATATTGGTAGTAACCGCGTCTAGCTGGACTATTGGGATCACTGTAGGGTGGTGGAGGACCCCATACACCGTACGGCAAATTATTGGGAATAACATTAAATTGACCTGGATTTGCATTTGCCACCTCCTCTGTTATGTTATTTACTGGCATGTTGGTGCTATTAGAGAACCCATACTGTGAGTCGGGACTTGAGGGAGTCTGTCGAAAGCGTGAATTGGGATCTGGTGAGCTACGTTGCCACCAACGATTCCAGCTCCAACCAGTCCCTCTACTGCGAGAAGTGGAAAGTTCATGACTACGACATGTGGTTGCCATTCCTGTCAGATCGTCACCTCCCGGATTAGGAGAATAAAAGTTTCCCGGAGGTTGAGTAGACCAAAATCGTGGTTCTGTACTCTCATCCCAGGGATATGTGGATGCCTGCAGTGGAACCTGTCGGTGAGCGTGGCATTGTTCACAGCATCTACAACCATGAGGAGCTGCAACAGCAGCCATGTTCTGTGGAGGCATTTGTGGACGAGTATACAATGATCGACAACGCAGTTCCAACTGCTCCCAATACATTTTCTTGCGTTCATGGCTAAAAATCCGAACATATGTGAATTATAAAATTACTTTTAGCTAGGTAAAGCGACCTAAACTTACCTTAACAATTGATAGACCAACATACAACTGAAAACCGCCACTAATACACCCGCTACAGATAAACCAAATATTGCTCTAAGGCAAGAGTATAAAGAGCCATGTACCACACCACAATCCGATAAAGAGTCGAAAACCAAACGAACTCCTTCTGAAAAATATTTTAGAAGTGAGAGACGTTCCAAATAAATACAAAACTTAAGTTCTCACCTTTATCCACTCGATCCACTTGAGACTCTATTAAATCCGAGTAACATGTACACGTACGAGTCTTTTGAGCATATTCGCATTCTCGTAGAGCCTGTAAGCGGCTCATGTGTAATACTGTCGTTGTCACCGTCACCAAAGCACATGTTAAAGCCGAAATTAATCCACAAGCACCAGACAATTTTATCTAAATATAAAGATTAAATGAATTTTATTATATTCTGTCTATGTAACGTTATCGGTTTTTAATACTCACCAAATAACTATAACGATTACGCCTTCTTGCCAAACTCATGACGCATAGGCCAGTAAGAATAAGCTAAACACAATTTAAATGAATATTAATAAATCAATGAAGACTTTTAATGATATAAACTTACCAAGGTGGCGGGAACAAAAGTCGGAACGGTCTCAAAATTACCCACAGTAATGGTATAAGAATGCAATAGGAAATATACTCCTAAAAATAAAAGTCCCAAAATGCACGAAAATCCTCCACATACCAAGCACCATATTACATATTTTTTTATAACCATTCCAGGACGGGCTCGTGCTGTAAATAATATATAAGCAAGAAGATTA